ACCTTGTTGATGTCGTACTTTCTTGACAGAGAATCAATATTTGATTCACCACATAATTTCACGTGAAGCCCGGATCTCACTTCAGCTGTGGTATGATGACTGGGCTTTAAGGGTTAGGGAAAGTTGTAGGTTCAATTTCAACCTTTGAACTTTCAGACACGTGCTATTGATTTAATGCAGAAAAAAATACAGGGGAAGACACTCTAGATAAGTTCAAACTAATCGTTTAGAACAATTACCTTAATTTTGATTAACATATTATATGCATAATGCTATAACATCCAGTGATGAAGAATGAAGAAACAGGATAAAAAAATGATATAGTGAGTCAAGACAACTAAGACTGGAAAAATTGTGACCTGGACAAGGATCTTTAGGTGGCTATCAAGGAAGATCATGAGCCTAGGACTGTCATAGTGAGTTGTACCTGTTGCTGAGACAGTAAGCATGCTCCATTACTGAAGGTCCAAGGAGCAGTATGGATCCTCCTGGTGGAGGAGAGATAGTCTTTGTCTTCCCTCTCCCCCTCCAGAAAAGGAAGGTAGTAAAGGAGTCTTCACAGACTTTGTGCTGCCACAAAGGTTTCCTTCAGTCCGAGGGCAAGACAGAAATCAGAACCACGTGTCTCTCGCTGGTGAAGATCTCATGTGACTTATTGTAAGAGCATGACATTGTGCAAGTGGCTAACCCAGCATTCCCTAATATGGATCCTAGGTGACAGATTGTGTTTGAAATAAGCAGCTGCAGAAAATAGCTATGTACCTCAACATCATCTGGTAAGAATCATAGAATGGTTTAGGTTGGAAGGGCCCTTAAGGATCATCTAGTTCCAACCCCCCTGCCACGGGCAGGGACACCTCCCACTAGACCAGGTTTCTGGAGCCATTACTAATTAGTGAAGGGGTGCAAAAGAACATGAAAACAAAGCTGAAGATGTTAGTCAGGGCTGGTCATGGTACTTCCCTATATTTCAGATGAGAAACCTTGTTCTTTTTGCCTTTGACACTTGTGCGTGCCATGGCAGGGAAAGTGCTGCCTGTGACTACTAATGTCAAAAAAAAAAGCCAAGAATAGACAGTATCTCAACATCATCTGGTAAGAATCATAGAATGGTTTAGGTTGGAAGGGCCCTTAAGGATCATCTAGTTCCAACCCCCCTGCCACGGGCAGGGACACCTCCCACTAGACCAGGTTTCTGGAGCCATTACTAATTAGTGAAGGGGTGCAAAAGAACATGAAAACAAAGCTGAAGATGTTAGTCAGGGCTGGTCATGGTACTTCCCTATATTTCAGATGAGAAACCTTGTTCTTTTTGCCTTTGACACTTGTGCGTGCCATGGCAGGGAAAGTGCTGCCTGTGACTACTAACATCCAAAAACCAGCCAAGAATAGACTGTAGCTTGAGAAGGGAGTAGCAGGCACTTGACTGTAGCTGTGTAACCTGCTGCCTGGCCAAGAAGAACAGTGCTGTCAGGTAACAGCACATTCCATGGGGAGATGCAGTGGGTGTGTAGAATCACTCACTTTAATGCTTGTGCACTCACAGGATAGCTGTGGACTCCCAGCAGCAACATCTGGAGTCCAGCCCTGCTGCTTGTTACAAACAGGTCTGGCTGTGTACCAAAGACAGTAGTTCTACTGATGGTGTTTATTCAGGTATGTATTTGCCATCATAGAATCATAGAATTATTGAGGTTGGAAGAGATCCTTGGGATCATCGAGTCCAACCATCTCCCCTACTCTACAAAGTCCTCCCCTACACCATGTCCCTGCATGTAAACGTCCCTTAAACACAGCCAGGGATGGGGACTCCACCCCCTCCCTGGGCAGCCTGTTCCAATGCCCGACCACTCTTTCGGTGAAAAATTCCTTCCTAATGTTCAATCTAAACCTCCCCTGTTGGAGCTTGAAGCCGTTCCCTCTCGTTCTATTGTTAATTACCTGTGAGAAGAGACCAGCACCAACCTCTCTACAGTGTCCTTTCAAGTAGTTGTAGAGAGTGATGAGGTCTCCCCTCAGCCTCCTCTTCCTCA